ATATTATATATATATAATAATATAAAAATAAATTATAATAAAAAATAATAATAATATATAATAAAAAAATAATTATATAATATATATTATATATATTATAAAATAATTATAAAAATAATAATAAACAATAATTATAATAAAAATATAATAAAAAAAAATATATAAATATATATATATATATATATATATATATATTATAAAAAAATAAATATTATAATAAAAAAATAATATATATAATAAATAAAATAATATAAAATAAAAATATATATAATATATAATATATAAAATATATATATAAAAAAATTATAAAAAAAATATATATATATATAATAAAAAAAAATTTTGATTGATTGATTGATTGATTGATTTTGATTTGATTGATGATTGATTTGATTGATTTTGATTTGATTGATTTGATTGATTTTGATTGATTGATTGATTGATTGATTGATATATATATATATTGCAGATAAAGTAAAATTTTATCCGAATCCAAAACCAGATACCACGACTCAGACTGGTGTGATTAAATCAATTATGTCAGAGGGAAATTATTCAATCAAACCGGATGGCAAAACCGACACGATAGGTAGTGACACTTATAAATTATCATAGTTTTGAATTATTCTGAAATTTATAATTCTTTTTTTAATGTCGTGAGCGAAGAAAGAATTATCAGTCGCGTACCTTAGGTCGTTTGAAGTTATTCGTTGATCTCTTCAAATTAAACAAATAGAAATGATAAGTTGTCCATAATAATGGTCTACATAGTATGCAGATATCTGTGAGATTTAGATACATTATATGTTTATTTTTTATATTTGTTTAATTATCACCGTAAGTGTAGAAAAATAACATTAACGGCCTTATTAAAGATTTCTTAAATAAATTTATTATTGAAACAAATTAAAATATATTATCTATTATATAATTCAGGCATGCGTATTACGTAAAAAATTATAGGTAGTGCTGTGAGGATTAGTGTAAAATAGGAATTAATAAAGTATTAATGTCAATTAATACCAGGACTTAAAATATAAGTAGTCTGCCGGCCATTTTATAATTAATTGATTTCAAAATAATCAGCAATCGCGTGAAAAATACAAAATACTAACGGTTTTAGAGTATAAGACTTAATTCTAGTATCACTAATTTAAAAAAAATTTCGCACGTGTTATTTTTAAGCCTAAAGATTTCGTAAATATTATTTATTGTAAATATTATTTTTAGGGCCAAAAATTCCGGTATAAAATTTTTTGCTGTTAAGATTAAAGAAACATTGTTAATATATAGAAAACAGTTTCGTAGGCAAGACTTTAAACTATAAGATTTTTTTTATTTTGGTTTTTTGTAAAATTTTTTTGACTGATTATTTATTTCGTCTAAAAGGAAGATATCTAAATAACACTATAATAACGATTGAATACTTGATTAGTTAGAGTTTTGAATTTTGCATGTAAAGGCGTATATTTTATCACTTACCAAATGCATTCTTTAAGTTACGTCATTACTTAACACTTACCCGAAGATAGCGAGTTTTTAACTCTGGTTGATCAATCACTACGTAAATGTGTCGTAACATATTGCCATATATCATTTAATTTTAAACTAATTATCTACAATGAATAAAACGAATAGCCTCACCTTTCATTTTATATGCAATAAAAACAAAACAGAACAAAGAATTAATCCAGAAATTGATGAAGGGGGTTAAGGATTACAACCGTTTAACCGCATAAAAAATTTTTTTAAAGTGTGAGGGCAGAATTATGTTTATCATTGGCTAAAATTATCTTAACGTTAATGCTGGCTGAATTAAACTGTTAATACAGTTAAAAAATAGTTAAACGATTAGGAAAATTTTAGGCGGTTCTATTCCTAGACAGATGCATTTTTGTCTTATAGGTTAAGGTAAGTTGTATATTGTCTAATAAATTTTTTTTAACGCATATATTTGATATAGAAGTTGCATAAAACATGTACAATTACATGCTATGTTCTGTAGCTATTGTTCGGCCCTTTATACTGTCCATTCTCTCTATAAACATGTATTGTACTTGTTTGTGGTTAATAAATTCTTTTCATTTATTCATTATTTATCATGTTACTAAATTATGCAAGTAATTTGGTTAATAAACTTTTTTTTATTAAATGTAACTATCAGGGTTATTATATTAAAATTTATCATTATCCGACAAAAAATTTTGACAGGTTTGTGACGCAGCGAAATTTCTTAAGGTTCATTAATGTTAGCTAACATTTAGAATAAAGTTAGAGATTAGGTAGTCATATAATAAAATCGTTCAAGGAAAACTTTTTGATAAAGCACTGAAGATGTTTTTTATGCGAATTTTTGAGAAATAAACATTCTTTAGCAAAACGAGCATGATAAAAGTTGGGTTTAATTGGTTGTTTATCCAGATCATCAGATCAATGTTTGTCACATGAAGTCGTACGAAAATTCTTTTTTTTAGGTAATATCGCAACCCCCAGTCGTTCGTATTGAATATTTTTTTACAAGAACGTTCTTCAAGTTCAAAAGTGTCGTTTAAAACTTTCGGATCTCTATGGATCAAATAGGAAAAGATAGTTCGCTTATATGAGTGTCGCTAAAAGAAAACCCGAAAATTTAAATATGACTTATATTTAAATTTTCGTGTTTTCTTTTAGCGACACTCATATATAAAAATTAAAATTTTTACTACTTTATTTAGTCAATTTAAACTAACTCTCATGGTTTAATTAGAAAAAAATTTTTACCAGAGCGTTATTCATACTCTAAAGTAATTATTTAGAATATAATCTCCAAACTAAGGGACTTTGCTTAGAAGATAAATATACTGGTGTATATTAGACTATGCAATGTTATACTGTAAAGTAAGATAACTGGAATGTTTTTACGTTAAATTCAAATAAATTTTTATTATAACTGTTTAGTTTGAATAAGTACAAGTTTTTTAGAGATTTGGGTTAATGTTTAGATCAGTTAGTCTTTGTAGTGTGAGTTGTGTAAATTTAAAGTTTTGGTTTATATACAGTAAATTTTTTGTAAGTTCGAATTTGTTAATAATAAATATCGTATTTGTTTACTTTACACGTATCTATCTATTTGCTAAATATACGTGATAAAATATATATTAATATTTTTGTTAGTTAAGTTTTTTTAATATGAATTTTTTATCTGATCGGTCAATTATCACGGGTAGCCACGGGTAGATCACACGAATCCGGTTCATTTCAATTTACCGACAGTACGATTCATCGACATTCAATTCACCGACAAGTTTATTTCACCAATAGTCCGACAGTACGTTTTACCGACAAATTTTTCTTATAAATTACACTAACCTTTTCTAATTCTACCAGAATTACTTTGTTTGTGAAATGACTGTCGGTAAATCGTACTGTCGGTGAAATGAACTTGTCAATGAATGGAATGGAACGTACTGTCGGTGGATTGCTTGTCGGATTAGTATAGAGGGCTTGCGTTCTGATTGGCTATAAGATCGGAATGTTACACAGATAATCTTAACATATTAGAACCGCCCCCTAGTCAACTTTAAACCAATTACACACCATGAAACGAATTGTAGAAAGTTGTTACTAAAAAAAATATTAAAGTATGTCTCGTTTTATAAACTGTAAAAGTAATCGGAAGTTAGATGAGAAGTATGTTTAAACGTTTGTGTTTAGCCTATAGGCAGGGTTGGCACATTTGTCTATTGGTATGAATGGACCCCAAGTCCATTAACCAGTTCCATTGATTCCATTGGACGGTCACTATTCCAATGGACCAATGGACAAGTAGGTAAAATCATTATATAGCTTTTATAAATGAGTTTATAATATTATACCACGTGATATTTGAGATTTTTTTGGCATTAACCTTATTTTGGCTTATGCTAATGGGCTAATGGACCAATGGACAAATGGATTATGATATTGGTCCATTGAATTCCATTGACAAACTTATTTTCAATGAACATAGTTCATTTCCAACACTGCCTATAGGTGCAATAAATCAATTAAGCTCAGCAATTTATACTCTCTTTTATTTGGCAAAACTTATTATTCATAATCCTAAAGAAAATTTACTATAATATTGGTTAATAATATGAATTTGTGGGTTATAATATTTATAGAATTTGTAAAAGAGCTAATGTAGTTAAAATGCAGTAGTAGTACTGATTATTAAATATATTAAAAACCAGTTTGATATTAGAGAAGCATTAAAGTTGTTTATAATTTTTTTTATTAGTTAGGCTAGACCAATTTGATTTTCTGTTTAATATAATCCTCCCTATTTTTTAAAATTTTATATGAAAAAAAAACATAATATTAATCAATCAAATTGCAGATTTATTTTTTACATTTTTACATTTTTTACAGCCAATAGAATTGCTGTATTTTTATTATTTGTGTTTTTTTTAATACCCTCTCTCCACTATCATAAGCTACTTTCATGGTATGTTAAACAGAAAATTAAATTAGAGTGGCCTTATTGGCATTTAAAATAGATTTAAACAGGGGTCGATTATATACTTTTTCTGACAATCACTTGTACCAAATCTTCTCTACAAACAATCTGCATTTTTGCAAACTTTTACTAAGTAAATCTTAGTTGGTTGTCTAAGTAAACTTGTTCTTTACAAGATTTTGTATACAGGTAGCTCTTTATTGTATTTTTTTAGCCTCTTTACAAAAAAATATAGCATATTTGTTCAAATTTTTATTTTCTTAAGAACTTATAATTTTATTAAGTAAATATTACTTGCTTCTTAATACAAAAAGATAGAGCTTATTTAGAGCTTCATTTTGATATATAATACTTAAAAAATAGACTTAAACTTAAAATTTTATTAACAAAACCTTATAAACTCTCTTACAAAAAATTTCATCTATTTTTCTGCAAAAATTTTGCATTTTTCTGGAAGGTTCTGGCCCTCTAGAATATCCAAACCTGCAGATCCCCATTACAAATCAATATTACTAATCAACTTACATAAAAATATTGTTCATTTTATTTATTTTTATCTCTAATTTTAAATTTACTATTTTAATCTTAGTAACTTACACAATTTTTGTTATACTACCATTATGTTACACCAGATTATACAAACACATCAACTATACCAGTCACAATATTTTTATTCTACTGCTACACAAGGTTACACAAGATTATACTCATTAGCCACATCAGCCACAACTCAATTTAACCACTATTTTTACTTTAACCCCTAAAAATAACTTTATTAAATTTGACAACAATAAGTTTTTCTTAATAAAACTTATAATTACTCTATTAATACTATATATAAAATGTTATATACAATAACTATATATAATTTCACTACTTCTATATTAAAATTTGACTAGTTTAAAAATTTTTTACCTAGTAAAAAATATATATACTTTTCACTACTTGCATAACAAACTATTATTCTCTTATTAACTTATTTAAAAAACTTTTACCTGGCCAAATATACAAAGCAACAACCAAAAACAAAGATCCAAAAAAGAACAATTTTGACAATATTCTTAAGGAAATAACAAGAAAACAACTAAAATTCTTAATAGATTTTATAATGGAAAAATACCTATATTTATACTCACAAACTTCTATTTTCTTTAATATCATATTAAAACACTCAAAAACCTTTTATTTAAACTTACAACTGGTCTTTTTACTATGAACAAGGATTACAAAATATTTT